ACTTAGGGCAGCACAGTGGGATTTTCTCCACATATTATGTGTATTTTCACAATCTCTCTGCTATTTATAATTTTGCTAAGTATTTTATGTGTTTTAATTCTATTTAACATTAGGAAGGTCAGATTCTGGCCAGGATAAAATACATTATTGCCGTATTATTTTTAATCTTCCCATACAACGCTGCAGAAACATTCTGGGGTATTTTTACTGAGTGATGCAAAGTCACTCCAAACTTAGGTTGTTCAGTGCTGAAAATATTGGAACTGACAGAATTTGCATATGCACAATTCTTGCTTGAGACAGAATTTCAAAGCAGAATTCATATGACCTTTCTTTTTAACCTCCCTGTCCTGCAGCACCTTGGTAATTCAGCCTTGGACTGATCTTGGCCAAGATAAAATCATCTGTTAAAAATATGATACGTGCACCAAATTAAGGTGTTTTAATACCATATTCCCATGTTCAGAGCACTTTTTCTGTGATTAATCACTGCACATAACTGGTGGTTTCTAGCTCCCTACTTACCAGAACCAGCAACAGTTTCAAAGGAGAAGATTGGTTTTTCATCGGTCTTGTAGGAGATGACAGACCTGCCCAAAAACAGCATAGTTGGCTTCAGTTCAACTAACTCTAAATTGAGTGCTTAAAATCAAACTGGAATAGACAACTTCTGGTCTTCCAATGCCACAAAATTCTGTGATAATCCTCACGAAGAGATCTTGGATGCCACATGGATATAATGACACGCTGACTGTAAATATAACAGCACCCACCACACAAGTCAAAAGGGAATTCCAACTACAGCTATTAGAAAAAAAAAAAGGAAACCAACAGTTCATCACACACAACAAAACCAAGAAGTGAAGATGACAAGTCACAGTCAGTTTTCATATCACTTCACTGGGCCAATGTGCTGTTTAAAGCTTTCGACCCAATATTTTTCCAGTGCAGTTTCAGGACAATCTCACCTGAAGCGATTGTAGATGACAGAGCCTTCATCGAACTCATACCCAGAGTTCAACAGCTCTAAAGCAATGGCTGAGGCATCTCCAAAGCTTGGAGGTCTCCGTCCCACTTCTTTGAATGTCAGCAGGAAATAGTTGGCATGTGTCCTGCAACAACAACAGACCTGTGTTGGAACAGGTGTGGATGCTCTAAAGTACAACAAGGCAGCAAGTCTGACTTACTACTGTAAATTAGGAATGTTCAGAACTAAATATTTTCTTGAATTAGGGTCTGAGAGACATTTTGCCATTTTTCAGTTAAATTATGATAGCTTATTAAAACACACACTTGTAACAGTGCCAGTTGCCAGACATTTATTTCAAAAATATAATAGTGCTGTGCAGCAGTTTCACAAATATCCAGATGATCTAAACCCCTTTTAGGATATTTGCAGATTTCTTTTAAAAGAACTTGAATTTAGTACAGTTCCCATAAAGCAATTTCCTGCCAATGCCAACACAGTTTTCTAAGCAGTCTTGAAACTTCTACCACAGAAAAAAATCAAAACCCCAGAATAAACCCTTCTATGGTTTCAGTTTTTACCTCTGAAGCAGACCTCTGATCTTGTCACCTACTCCAACCACCATAACTTCTTTCCCAGCATTTGAGAGGTTGGTAATCTCATTTTTCAAGGTTTTAGCAATGGATGTATGGATAGCACCACACAGGCCTCGGTCAGAGGACACACCAATAAGGAGATGCTTCTTCTTGTCCTCAGGTGCCTTTATTTCTGCTTTCTCATAAAGAGCTAGAAAAACCAAAAAGGATGGTCAAGTTTTTCAAGGGTGCCAAGAAGTAAATAAATCTCAAAAACCACCTCTGCATTATTCTAACTAAAACCAGCTCTAAAGGGACTGCAAATCTTAGATAGATAAATTTTACCTCCCTCACAATTATTCAAATTTGCACATGATCAGACCAGAGGTGAGCAAGAAACAACTCAAAGCCAGCCCCTTCTCTGACCACATGTCACACAATCAATGTCATCACACAGTGAAGTTCACGGTGCCAGTCCAGTGCCCCAGAACCAAGTGCAGCACAAGGGTTCACAAGAGGGTGTGGCAGTAGCTGTAGGTGCTACGGAGATTTGACACAATTCCATTAACAGACAGACAGATTCAGTCTGGAAGTTCTGAGCTGTGGTGCTTTTATGACTAATAAAAACAACCACGCCACCACACAAAGTTAAAAAAGCAATCGGAAATCATGATGAATTGCAGATTAGAACTCTTAAAATTGAACCACTTTCCATAAACTACTTTTATGGAATACTAAAGGTGGCCTAGAGATGAAAATTCTTTTGGAAATAAATTACTGGAAGGTTAAAAAGTCTCAGCATTTTATCACCACCGTGAAAACCTCCTTTTCTGCTCCCACATCCCACAGTGCAAGAGCTTTCTCTCACCCAGAGCTCCTGTTCCATAGATCCTTGCAGGCTTCAGCTCCCTCTCAGCTCGTGCATATTTGGCTGCAGAAACCATCTTCATGGACTTGGTGATTTTCTGGATGTTCTTGATGGACTTCAAACGCCTGGTGACTACAAAGTTAAGAGTGGAAGGTCACGGGCTGTTCTGGGCATAACGACTCAAAAATAAACAATAAAATGCCAGCAACAGCCATCCAAAAATATTTCACCATGTTCCTCAAAGAAGAAAAAAATAAATAAACAAACAGTGCACAAACAAACCTCACCAAAGCCCTCAGTATTTGCAGTGAGAAAGTAGTAAGAGGAGGAATGTGGCTAACACAAGTTCATCTTTATAATAGAGATGTTTTTTCCTCTAGATACAGCATTTATTTAATATTTAGCCCAGCATAAAGTCTATTTACTATCTCTTTGCTTCCACATCTACCTGTTTCACAAACACATCATTTGAGGTATATTGTCATCTTTCCCAGACGACAAGGGGAAGGAACAAACAAAAAGCAGACCCCGTAGTATGAAGACACAGAGTTAATTTCCTTCCCCCTTTAGGCTGTGGCAAAATAAGATTCATAAAAACACTGATGTAAAAAGAAAACAAAACAAGTTATCCTACAGACAAGCACAATTCCAAGGCAATATCCCTGCATAAAAATCTGTGAGCAATGGCTTACGGAAGCCATTATCAAACTAAACCATTCAGCCAACCTTTTTTCCCCAAATGCTGCATAAAAGCACAAGGAAATAAGCATAAAAGAAACTAAATTAATTCTCAAAGGTGAGAAAAAATCTGATTTAGCACATAGGATAAAATTATTTTTAAAATATGTTCGAGTAAAACTATGAAATGACATCTAAATTAGTGCCAAAACCACCTTAAGCAATGCCTTTTCTGAAGGACACTTCTTCAGCAGAAGAAGGGCTGGAGGCCACATACCAATGTTATGGTGTATCAGTCAATTTACCCAAGAGAAGCTAATCAAAATTGTATTTTAACACATGATTTTCCTGCAACACTTTCCCTCTCTGAAAAGCAAACAAAACCTGTACTTACTGTCTTTTAGCGTTGCCATATTCCTGACTTGGCCCCTAAAAAGGAATGCAGGAGAAATTAGGGTAATTCACTAGTTCTCCTGCAAACCAACACCTGTCAAGGGCAGGTCCCTTTCACAGACCTGTAAAGTCAAGATATTCTGTCTCTTAAAAAGCATCTGTGGCTGGGACAAGCCATTCTGACCTGTGGTTTGTATGCACACCTTCCTCCTTCCCCCATCTATACAATTTCACAGAATCACAGAATCAATTAGGTTGGAAAAGACCTCCAAGATCATCAAGCCCAACCTATGACTGAACAACATCAGGTCAAATAGATCATGGCACTGACTGCCACATCCAGTCTTTCTTTAAACACCTCCAGGGATGGAGAGTCCACCACCTCCCCGGGCAGTCCATTCCAAAGTTTAATCACCCTTTCTGTGAAGCAATTCCTCCCAGTGTCCAAACTGAGCCTCCCCTGGTGCAGGTTAAGACTGTGTCCTCTCATCCTGTCACTTGTTCCCTGGGAGAAGAAACCAACCCCCACCTGGCTGCACCCTCCTGTCAGGGAGTTGTAAAGAGTGATAAGGTCACCCCTGAGACTCCTTTATCCAGGTTAAACAGCCTCAGTTCCCTCGGCTGCTCCTCATCCGACGTGTGCTCCAGACCCTTCCCCAGCTCCACTGCCCTTCTCTGGACTCGCTCCAGCACCTCAATGTCCGCCCCGAACTGAGGGGCCCCGAACTGGACACTGCCCTCGAGGTGTGGCCTCACCTGGGCCCAGCACAGGAGGAGATTTAATTAATTAATTATCCATCGCCTTGGGGAATGACAGGAGACAAACGGGGGCATCGGAAGGGCAAATTAAAAAAAAAAAAAAAAAAAAGAAAAAGCTTCCAATAGCGAAACTAGTTTTTCAAAACGACTAAAACGAAGCGGAGGAGGCTGCACCATTCCTTGAGCAGAGCTGGGTCTCCTGCCGTGCACAGACCCGTCCTTTAACTCTTGCCTGTCCCAAATACCCACCCCCGCTGAGCTCCCCCTCGCCCCCACCCACGCCGGACGGACCCTCCATTCCTGAATCTCATCCTCCATCCCTGCACTCATCTCCCGGTCCCAGCTCTGCCACCCCCACCCAGAGCCCACAGCCCCTCACGGGCTGCCCAGGGCCGCGACCCCGCCGTCCCGGGGCGCCCCACAGCCGAGAGGGCCGTCACCCCCTCACCCTTCAGAGCCTCCCCGACCAGCGGGACGAGCCCCCCCGTGCCCACCGCGCCCGACAGCCGAGAGCGTCACCCTCACCCTCAGAGGCCTCCCATCCAGCGGACGACCCCCCGTGCCCACCGCGGCCCGAACAAGCCCGTCCCGGTTACATTGTTGGCTGGAACGGCACGACCGCGGCCCCCGGTGCGAACATGGACGGCGGCGCCTCCCCACTAGCCCCGCTGAAGGTCAGCGCGCCCGCACCGCGCCTGCGCCGCCCCGCCGCGATCCGCTTCCAGGGCACCGCCGCCATTTCCGGGGCGGTGGGATCGGCAGAGGGAAAGGGAGAGGGCCCGGATCGGGGTCGGCGTCATGGGGAAGTCGGATTTCCTCAGCCCCAAGGCGATCGCCAACCGCATCAAGTCCAAGGGGCTGCAGAAGCTGCGCTGGTACTGCCAGATGTGCCAGAAGCAGTGCCGGGATGAGGTAACTGCGGGTGCGCCGCTCCTTCGTGAGTGGCACGGGCGGCTCCGGCTCCTTAATAGGGACCCGCAGTCCCCTTGCGGGGGGCGGTTCTCCTGGGAATACAACAGGGATACCCCTCGGTTGGGGTCCTCCAGCCCTCCTGGCGGCTCCGATCTCATGGAATCACAGGATGGTTTAGGCTGTGAGGGACTTTAAAGATCATCTCGTTCCACTCCTTGCCATGGGCAGGGACACCTTCCACTAGACCAGGTTGCTCCAAGTCCCGTCCAGCCTGGCCTTGAACACTTCCAAGGATGGGGCATCCACAGCTCCTCTGGGCAACCTGTGCCAGGGCCTCATCACCCTCACAGGGAGGAATTTCTTCCTAATATCCGACCTAACCCCACCCTCTCTCAGTTTAAAGCCATTCCCCCTTGTCCTGTCAATCTCCCTTGTAAATGTCCCTAATGCTGTTGAGGACATTGGGAGAGCTGCGATTGCCCTTGTAGGAGTTCCTGATCCCCTTCTAGGGGGCTGCAATTCCCTCAGGAATGGTGGGGCCTCATGCCCTTCGTGTGGGTTCCCTTGTTTCCCAGTGGAGTGAGGGGGGTACAGGGCTGGCTCAGGTTCCCTTTGGAAATGTCCCCAGTTTCCTTGTGGGTGCTCTGATCCCATCTGTGGAGTGTGATCCTTCTAGGGAGCATCCTGGCTTCCTTTTCTGGGGGCACGGGGAGCCCTGATGCGCTCTGGGGGAGCACTGGAGAGGACCCTTATTCTCCTTTGGGGGACCTCAGTGCCTCTTGTATGGATCACAGTCTCTTGGGGGCAGATTGGTGGGACCTGGTGGGTTCCCAGTTGCTGGTCGTGGGACGATCCTATTGGGATCCCCAGTGGGAGAAGTCCTCATCCACTTTGGAGAAAGCCTGTTGGCCCTGACCCATCTTTGAGGATTGCATTTTAGTTTTCCATTCTCCATAAATAGCCTCTCTAATGTGCCATAGGGAAGTAGAGCATCCTGAGGATGTTTAATTCTATCATTCTTCACCTATTTCTGTGCCTCTCTCCCTTTTACTCAGAAATCTCAAATCTTGTTCTCTTCCCATTGACTACAAGCCAAAAAAAAAAGCTTCACTACTTCACAAGCTGATATTTTTGTAAGGGCTTGTCTGGTCAGGAGGAACAACCACCCCACACTAGGCTGAGGCTGAGTTGAGGTGTTTTCTGTGGACCCTTCAAGAAATTTCACTCATAAAAACATTATTTTTAATATTTTCTTCAGCTGTGTTGCAAACTGAGACAAAGACATGCAAAGGATTTATTTTTGCTTTATAGAATGGCTTCAAATGTCATTGCATGTCTGAGTCCCACCAGAGGCAATTGCTGCTGGCTTCTGAAAATCCTCAGCAGTTCATGGATTACTTCTCTGAGTAAGTTTTCTGTATATTCTTACCCAGGTCTTTGTCCCTGTGTCAAATCTGCACAGCTACACCTCTAAGGCCAAAAAATGTCCCACTGGAGACACTCTATTGTGATACATTTTAGTGTCAGCTCTTTTTTTAATGGCAATTTGAAAATTTAGAGAATGCCACTTTTGAACTTAGGTAAGAGATTTCAGGGAACCATGGTGTTTAATCAAATTTGACAATTTTATCTCGTGTCTGAATCCTGTTTAAAGTTGCTCTGTGTTACAAATATGTCACCTTTGTGCCCCATCTGAGTGACTGCCACACTAAACATGAGCTAAAGGAGCCGTAACAGAGAGACAACAAGTCAGGGGTGTGACTGACATCCCACAGCTTCTCCCAGTCCTTTGTCCAGCTGACCTACATGACAACTGGGATGACTGGAGTTGTCCTCAGCACGAGCCTGAAGTGAGGCTTTGTGCTCCAGCCCTGGAATTAGCAGGGAGATGAGTGATCCATCTGCCCTTTGTCCTGCCCTGTGTTCCGTGTCAGTCAGCCTGGGAAGATGCCTGGTAACGAAATACCGGCAATTAGTAGGAAGTGTAGAGATTCCTTTGCTCCATTTTATCCCTTTGGGAAGCTGTTATTCTCTTGGAGATTTCAGGTGTGTGCATGTACCATTTTGTGTTTTTCTGTGCACACATCCTGCATTTAATGCTGCCTTACTGAGGGGAAATGTGGCTAAATTTCATCATGCTCAGATCGAAAGAATAGTCAGGTTTATAATGCAGATGTTTATTTGTTAATGACAACAGAAAATTGCTTCATAATTGTTAAAGTTTTGCTAAAGTCCTTTCTTTTTATCCCCCCAAGGGAGTTCCGAAATGATTTCCTAGAACTGCTCAGGAGGCGATTTGGTAAATATTTTGCTCTTTGTTTTTAATGTCTTTTGTTGTTTCAGTTCAAGACATTTTGGTTGGTTTGTCCTGGGTTCCACACTTGTATTTAATAACGATAATTCCGTATTTCAGGAACAAAGAGAGTCCACAATAATATTGTGTACAATGAATACATCAGCCATCGAGAACACATCCACATGAATGCCACACAGTGGGAGACACTGACTGACTTCACAAAATGGCTAGGGAGAGAAGGTGAGTGGGGCTGGGAAGTCTTAAAATTATTGGGTAATTGAATTGCTGGTAATTGATCAGTAAATATTTATGTTAGTTCTGTTTCCTTTTTCTTTCTTCCTCTCTGTTCCTGTATATACATTAACAGATTTCCAAATGTTTTTCTTTGCTAACCATGTCGATAAGTACGTCAGTCGTGCGTCTTTCCTTGTTTCATCTGCTGGTCAGCATTTGCTGGAGGTACTGCTAAATTCTGAATCAACTTCCAACATTTGCCATTTAGAAAGAAAACCTAGAACACTCCTTATGACTGCAGAATCCTTCCATATTTGAGGTGACAAGAAGCAAGCAGTTGTTTTCATTGCTGGCCTCATGGAAGGGTTAAAGCTTGAGCTCTGCAGTTCTGTGCTCAGTGGAAGGAAGGGAGATTAAATGGCACTGTGGGGTGACAGAAAGTTTACTTTGGCTCTGGTTGCCCCTGTGCTACAGGATACATCCACGGGTCATGGAGTGTTTGGAAAGTCAGTCTAGCCAGAGTCAGTAACAATAACGCAGCACTGGAACATTTCCTTTAGTATGATGCTATTAGTATGTGTTGTTTATACATGAGAGATTTGTGTTTTCAGTGGGCAGGAAATATTTTCTTCAATAAGGAAAGTATTGTAAAACACTTCATCCCCTTTATGACAACTCTGGCTTATTTCCAAATAGATCTGGGTAGCTGGAGGGCAGAAACACATAGTACAGATAATTCAAAGTCAATTTTTGCAGTCCAGTGAGGGGTATATTGTCTCTGGTAAAGTATCTGCATTGTTATGGTGAACATGGACTGAAATGATCTTGATATTGTAGGAATTAATCTTATTTTATCTTGTGTTGACTTTCTAGGTCTTTGCAAGGTTGATGAGACTCCCAAAGGCTGGTACATTCAGTACATCGACAGGGACCCTGAGACTATTCGTAGGCAACAAGAGCAAGAGAGGAAGAAGAAACAGGACCTTGATGATGAAGAGAAAACTGCTAAGTTCATTGAACAACAAGTTAGAAGAGGTTTGGAGGGGAAAGAACTGGTAAGGAAAATTGCACTGTGTGTGAACCTTCTGCTCAAAACTCCTCATGGTTAAGTTAATGGGGAATTCGGTGCTGCTGGGATCCTTCCTCTGGTATTTCCTTTGCTTCCTAACTTGGAGTTACTTTAGTACTTGTTTTAGTACTAAAGGAGTAATAATTACTGTTCTTCACATGACTAGTGGTTCAGAAGCCACTCTTGAATTTAGGAAGGGAGAGTAAACACTCCGGTAACCAGCATGACGTGTTTTCATTTATGGTATTTCACAAGTTCGAGGGCTGCAGATAACAAGTACCTTGTACACTGGGGAGGTTGAGATAAACAACCAGGGGAATCTGGCATGATCAAATTCACACAGTGAAAAGTTCTATTTTGATAGTGCTGGTGAGGTTATTTGGGAGATGTTTATTTGGCATCATTCCATGACCTCCATACATGTTGTTGCCCAGGGCTGGAACCTCAAATTTGATCCTAGGTATTGATAGGTACATTTAAATCACATTTAATTGTATACAATTATGTGCTTCTTAATTTAAAACTAATTGAAATTTAAATGGTCTGAGCCTCCAGTGCTAAAAATTTGGAAAGATATCAGAATTTCCTGATAACAGATAGTTATCAGTCTATCCAGAAACCAGGCAGATCATGCTGGTTCAGATAGAGAAAACTGCTACAGCAAGGCCACTTTCCTTTCATCCTGGAGGTGAGCAAGTTTAGGCAGCATCTCTGTAGGGGTGTTAATTAGTGAATTTTGCACAGGAGCCTGTAATGGTTTCAATTTATAATCGTTTATGAATCAAGCCAGATTGAATATTACAGTTATTTGTGATAACCTTGCAGTAATCTTTAACACTGAGCTAATCAATGATCACCAGAAATTATATCTGGGCTCAGTTTTCTGTTTGAATCTTGAAATGTATTTTGTATTTTTTTGGTAGGAAATGCCTGTCTATACTGAACTGAACAGAGAAAATGAAGAAGAAAAAGGTAATCACATTTTGATAGATGTAATTTTCTAGAACCTACTGAAGGTGATTTTGTGATTCAAGCGAGATGAGCACTTGAGGCCTGTTTAGTGCCTAATAAAGTGCTTTGACATCAGTTATAAAGAGGAACTTGGAAATGCAGAGTATTCTTTTGTATAAGTTTTAATTTATTTTAAAAGCTGAACCAAAATACAGATTAGTTAACATTTTCAAATTTATGATCTTTTCTGTTTGCAGATATTAAAAATTGTAACATCCTTCAATGCAGTTATTTTTAAAGATAGAAATAGAGTAATGTCTTTTTATTTTTTAGTTACATTTAATTTAAACAAAGGAGCAAGTACTTCAATCGCAGCATCTTCTAAAACAAGGTGAGAAAAGAATTTAAGGGAACTCTTATTGTTGCAAAGCACTTCCATGACAATGATATTTGTGTGGGCAGGAAGATGTGTCTCATCCTGAAATATTTGGATTCTTATCTCATCCTGCCTTGTTATTCAGAATTGGATAGTAAATGACTTCATGGTTCCTTCTGTATTTAAAATGGGTGAATTGGTGTATCTTAAATGTGTGTTGTGAGGAGCCTTCTTGAATTCATGTGGTTCATGGCAGATGCCTGTAAAGTAAAAGGCAGGTACAGGTTCTTCCAAGGGAGGATGGAAAAGGGATCCAGCCAAAGCACTTGAAGTGATGCTATCTAGTCCCAACTGCCTTTTATGAATGGGTATTCCTGACTTGTTAATTTTGATTCCTAAAAGGTTTAATTGCCTTGTCTAATTGGAGAAAATTCTTCCTCTGGTCATCGTTTAAGCAGCTGAATCTACCTGAAATAAATCTTTCTAAAGCTGTTGAATTTAATTGTCATCATATAACCACAAGCAATGCAGGACAAAAGGGATCAATAATGCAAATAATACTGACTTACAGCAGTCTGTGGAACTGTTGGATGATCATACATCTTTTCGTGTGAGGCAATATTGTAATTAAATGTGTTGCAGGTAAAAGGAAAGCTTTCCTCTCATCACACTCAGCTCTTAGATAAGGTATCTGATGGGATATGTGCCAGGCAGAAAATGAGACAGTAAAGCAGTTCTTTGCAATAATAGATCCAGATTTCAGGCTTTGAGGAAAACTTGTAAATTATCCCTAAGCACTAAATTGTGATTAAGGTGAGTCTGAAACTTAATGCAGACACTCCCTTGAATAGTTTCAGTGAGCTAAAATTTGGCTGAATGTGAAATCACGTATCAAGTAGTCTAATTTACTCATAGCATACGAGAGATACTTGTCTGTAAATTTTGTAATGGTAGTGTGGAAGCAAAATTAGGATAAGCATTTCATGGCAAAGTGGTGATTCAGGCATCACTTCAGAGTCATGTATGGAAGCTGCTTCCCTGTGTCAGTGTACAGGTGTGTTCTGCAGCTGTTGGCTGTTCCTGAGGAGCAGTGGAGGTCAGCTTGATATCCAGTTCCCCAGCATAGTATGCAGGAGGACTTCCCTGCTTCCCACCTTCTGTGCTCACAGCTCAAGCTGTGGAAACCTGGCACTTGTGTTTCCTGAGTGTGGTGCAGAAATGGAACCAGAAGATCATAGTTGGTGGGTGGTGGAGTTTGGAGAGCATGAGGATACAGGTAGTTGGGTGGGGTTGGAGCCTTTCTGAGGAGGGAAGTAAGAGGGGAGGCATTTCTTCCCTTGTCCCTGTGGCTGACAAGAAGCTGGGAGTTTCCACTGCCACTGTGGGTACAGCTCCTGATGCCCACTGCCCTTCAGCAGACTGGGAGCCCTGGGCTTTCTTTGTTCCCTCAGTAACTTACCTCGTCAAATCCCTGCTTAACTCATCTGTTGGACAAGTGAGATTAGAAGTAATTCTAATTTAAGAATGAGCAGAAGCCACTGTCAAGGTCACTGACTCCTGTCTGCAGTGCTGCAAGTGTACCAGTGTCAGCACACTGAGCAGCCTCCACTGTGCACAGTTGGGGTTTCTCCAGCCCTGCAATCCCAGGGGAGGATCTTTCAGAAACTGTTTGCTCTGATAGTTTGCACCTTGTTTGTAAGTTCCCAGGTAAATGTTCCCAGGTAAATGTTCATGATCAGTTCATACCAGGTGCTGTCATGTTGATATGTGCCTTTAAAATGAATAGTTCTTTTTCTCTCTGGTGTTTGCTTTCTCAGTGTATTTGTAGAGAAAAGTTTTGGCCTGTCAGCCTTCACTGTGCTGTACAACCAGGCCTGCACACTGCTCATTTCCCCATTCCCCTCAACCCCTGAATATCCCTTCCTTGTCCTTGTTCCAGTTTCAGTGGATCTTGAACAGGAGATCTGACTGAATTTGTGCATACAGCCAATGGAACATCACCATGGCTTATTCTAGACACTGATGCTTGGCAGTCTTGATGCTTTCATTGCATTTGACTCTTTCATGGCTGCTCCACACTAGTAACTGTCACCTGTGCTTGTAGCCAGACCCCTTTCTGCTTTTGTTGTTCTTAGCAGCTCTCAATAGAAAGATGGCAATCAGAGTAAACTTTTCCAAGGTACCTGAGCTTACATAATGTGCTGTTGAATGCTGTGGTTTTCAAAACATGGTTTTCAAGATAAACCAATCCCATTTGGTGTCAAACTCTTCCTTGAGTCCTCCATATTGTTGACACACCCAAACACCAAAATGTTGTTGGTCTCTTGACTCTTTGTCCCAGGATCCTTAATAAATATGTTAAATAAGATTTGTTTTACTATTTACACCCAGGAATCTCTTAGTTACCTCATAGCTAGATATGTTTGTCTTCTTAAATATAGGCACTGCAGCTGTTAAGTTTTAATTGTATGTTACCCTTTATGAGATGTTATTTTAAGTACTTGCTATTTGGTTTGTAATTTAATGTGCTGTTTCTTCTCAAACTCTGCTATGTTTATCCAGACTTGCTCTGAAATGCAATTTTTCTCTCAAAGTTGCTTCTACTGTGATTTCTGTATCTTCATTCCCACTGGGTATCCTCCCTTGGTAGTGCCTCCAACATTCTCACCACAGGCAGAACATGCAATTTTGTCCTGAGGCCATATTAATATTGCATTACTGTCACCTCACAACAGCCACCTTCATCTTTCAGCATGAGATAACACCTAATTTTTTTTACTGCATTCAAATGTTTTTTATAAAAATGGCTGAACTCAAGCTGCATGTAGGCAGTTCTCACTTTACCTGGATGTTCCCCGATATGTAACTTTTTGTGCTGGTTGTTCTTTTCTTTCCCAACTTTTAGGCTGTTTGCCTGTTTTGAATATGATGGTGAAGGTAACATTTGTTTCTACAGATTCCCATGTGTTTTCTCCCATTGCCAGATGGGTTCAGTATCTCTGTCTGAAGGGAGTTCTAGACATTTGCCATGTCTCAGAGTTCCTCTGTCCAGGTGGCTTCTCTAAAGCCACAGACTTGTCCTTTCAAATTTGAAAACCTTATTTACAGACTGGCTTTTGTCTTCTCCATTGAACTCAACTTCTCAATCAACTCTTAGCTTGTGCAGTGGTGAACTGATCATTAAGTTGTGTCCATTCTGCTGGACTGCCAGCAGTAACCCTGGCTGGACATGGAGTTTGCACCCCAAGGAGATCAGTTCTAGAGGAACTGATCATGCAGGGTCTGGAAGGTGACTGGCACAAATGAAATTAGGCAGATTAGGCCTTTTTGCACAGCCAGTTCTTCAAATGTGTCTTGGTAGAGGAGAGATTGTAAGATCTGCTGTGAAAACACCATCTCACTCTTCCAACAGTGTCCTTGGACAGAATGCACTGCAGATGGTGGAGGGGGCAGTTAAAAGAAAAGAATCAGCTCATAGCTCTAGTCAGCCCAAAGAGAAGAAGAAGAAATCTGCACTGGATGAGATCATGGAGGTAATAACCATGTAGAATCCATGTCTGTGTGTCCCCATGCCTATGGCAGTGTCCACTCTACCAGGGTGTCCCTTTGAAGTGACCTCAGCCCTTCAGTGCATGTGGAATTCAGACTTTCACATCTTACCAGGCAAAATAATTTCATTTCCCCATGAGAATTGGTTTCTGCTGCTCAGCTGTGCCTGTTCCTCAGATGACTGCGGTATTGGAAGTAAAAAAATACAGATTTTACAAGAGAAGAAAATATCTAGAAACACTTGACCAAAAAAAAATATGGATCACCATCATTTTATCAAGGGTTCCTGGCTGTCACGAGATTGATTTTTATGCAGCAAGTACACGCTAACTTACCCTAATTTAGGGTTTGGGGATTTTTTTTATTCTCCACCTGATGTGGGGCTGGAGAATTGGTTCAGCTTTTGAAATGCATGGGAAAGCTGCAGTGGAATGAGGAAGTAAATGGTGATTATTTGTTGTTGTTCTATAGCTTGAAGAGGAGAAGAAGAGAACAGCTCGAAGAGACTACTGGTTGCAGCCTGTAAGTGTCTTAAAAATTATTATTAGAGCAAATACAGTCAATTCTGCATCTCTAAAGCCACTATTGATTTGTGTAGAGATCCAAAAGCAGATTCCAAACTAAAATCACTCTTCTTTTCCCTTTCCTGCTCTTGACCCATTGTGGTCTGTCACTTTATATCCCGAATTCAAGTGTAATTGTAATTGTAAAAAAAAACCAGAAAAGTCTTGAGAGATGCTACTTTGAGACAATAATTTGAGAATAAAGACAGATTCCTGAAAACCACATTGTTACTAACCCTGCTTCCTACACTGAGCTACTCAGTCTGGGCTTGGACTCAGAGCAACTGGAACTTACAATTAGTTTAGATTGTGGAGTTGTTTGTATATTTTGGCATTTAATTTTATTTTTTCTCTCCTTTCAAATGTCTCAGGAAATCATTGTAAAAATTGTAACGAAAAAGCTTGGAGAGAAGTATCACAAGAAGAAGGCAGTTGTTAAGGTGAGATAGTTTGGCTTTTCTGCTGTGACTTTGGAAATTTTGTTTCATTGTGCAGGTTGTTCAGCCTGAAGTCAACACTGTTAGGGGCTGAAATGTCACCTTACCTGTATTAGGACTTATTCTGGGCAGGGAGGGAACCTCTGAATTGGTTTAATGTCATTTTCTCAGAGATTCTTTTTTAAGTGTTGTTTTGTCCTGTGTGGTTTGTCCCTATTGACACATCCAACCAAGAGCAGTGCAGTTCGATTTTAGGCTGAAACTAGTCACTTTTGCACTGATATTTAAGCTTTGCAGGATCTCATTTGCATGCAAAATCTCCAGGCTGGTAATCTTGCCTTTCTTTTAGCCACTGCCAGTGAAATGATGTGTATTAGGTAGTCCAAGGCTCAACAGTGTCTGGCAAGAGCCCCAAAAATTACACCCAGATGTGTTTTGAATGATTGACTAGAGGGCACAGAGCTGAAAATTACAGCTTCTTGGGTGGATATCTGGGAGGACTTGTGTGTCCCAATGGCTTGGCTTCCACTGAGCTCTGGATAGGAGAAGTGGAACATGGTTTATGCCAGGCATGGGGATGATCAGTAACATTTTACCTCATTAAGAGTAGGATCCCAGTGTAGTTTCAAGCCAGCTTAGCCTCCCATGGGGAAAAGAAGCCTCTATTTTACTCTCCATCTTTAAGAGACTAGCTAAGGTAGCTGACCCAAAGTTTGATAATACCTTCAGACAGGGCTTACAGAATTAGTGACCAATTAGACCAGGCATTGATGCTCAAGAGGAGCCCTTTTAATCTGACCTTGACTTCAGGGTGGGGCCAATCAGCAGTTTGTGGAAGCTGGAGGCTTTTGGCACAGCTCAGAAGGCCCTGCTGCTGTTGACAATGTAGAATTGCAGACTCGTGATGCCAAGTTTGTTAACTTTGAAATGTAAATTTAGAGAAAAATGTTTTATTTCTCTGACTGGCCTCTGGCTTTCACAACAGGAAGTGATTGACAAATACACAGCGGTCGTGAAGGTGATTGACTCTGGAGACAAACTGAAGCTTGATCAGACACATCTAGAAACTGTAATACCTGCACCAGGTACAGCTGTTTGCTTGTGTTCTCAGCCTAATTATAATTCCTCCACCTGAAAGTACTATAACCTCTCCTGAGAAGACAGGCTGAGAGAGCTGGGGTTGTTCGACCTGGAAAAGAGAAGGCTCTGGGAAGACCTTAGAGGCCCTTCCCGTACTTAAAGGGAGATTATAAGAAAGATGGGAACAAACTTTTTAGCAGGGCCTGTAGCAACAGGACAGTGGCCAAATGGTAATGGCTTTAAACTAAAAGAGAGTAGATTTAGTCTAGGTATAAGGATGAATTTTTTTAAGATGAGGGTGGTGAAACCCTGCAACAGGTTACCCAGGGAAGCTATGGATGCCCCATCCCTGGAGACATTCAAGGCCAGGTTGGAGGGGGCTCTGAGCAACCTGGTCTCGTTGAAGATGTCTCAGATCATTGCAGAGGGGTTGGAGTAGACAACCTTTAAAGATCACTTCCAGTCTTCGCAGTCCTTTTCTGTCAGAATTGGAGTCTTTTCTGAGAAGACCAGCAGTTCAGTTGAAGAGATGAAAGCATCTCTCTTCAGCTGCCAGGAGGAACATCTGGGAACCCTGCAGAGCCCTTGGTCATGTTTATCCTGTAACTTCCCTCCAAAGTCATGCCTGGAATAACAGGGGATACTTAGCAAAGCTGACCTCGCCTCCTGTCTGGGTCACTGGTGTTTCTTCAGTGGGTACACACTACTGCTTGTGTGGAGCATCTGAGGGCAGCAGTAAGCAGAGCACTGTCAGCATACAGGAAAACAGGGTGTAGGATTTTGGGATTCACACTGAGGTGCCCTTTGGAAATGGGGAGGCTGTGAGACAAAGCTGGTGTTGCTTCCTGAAGCTGCTGGGAGAAACCTCTCTCTCAGCTGTCAGTGGAGTTGGACACAATACATAGAAGAAGTTGTGTAACTCTTTTCCTATTTTTATTTCAGGCAAGAAAGTGATGGTATTAAATGGTGGGTACAGGGGAAATGAAGGCATCTTGGAATCCATCAATGAAAAGAGGTTCTCAGTGACAATAACCATTGACTCTGTAAGTATCAAACACTGCAAGCTCTCATTTGTGTAGATCTTTCCATCTGTACATGGAGAGCTTTTACAAAGAACCATGTTATCCTTAATCCTGTTTTACAGGTGGGATTAATGGTGTGCAAAGTGCTGTGGTCACCCCCCACCTATTCCCAACCAGTAGGAAAACAGCCACATATCCCCCATCACAGACTAATTCTCTGCTGTTTGCCTTTAAAAAGATGCCAGGATGCTGATTTTAGCAAATTTTGAACTTGAAAGAGACTTGGAAAATATTTTGTATGTTTATTTTGAACATGGCTGTTGTACTATTTTGTGGGAAGGTAAAAAATGTGAAATATGCAAGGAGGAGGTGAATCTTCTCCTGCCTTTTCCAGCCTGAACACGGGGCTTTATGTGCTGAGTTGTTGTCTTGTTCACGGTTAGCAATTATGTTTGGGTTTTTTGTTTCAGGCTTGTTTGTTTGTTTGGGGTTTTTTATGTATCACTTTTCTCTGAGCTAAAATCAGGCCATGTGATCATGTCTGTGTGGCTCCTTCTTTGTTCCCCTCTGCAAAACAAATGTTTAAACTCATTGATAAAGCAGAGAGGCTCAAAAGTCAAACTTCTTAGACATGCCTTTGCAAGAGGGAGACCCTGTTAGATCCCGTTCAAAGAAGGGCTGCAGAAACTCAGCCCAGATTGGATTCTGGAGAATTTGCTTGGGAAAAGACTGTGCAGATGCCTCAATGATAGAAGGAGCTTTGACTGGACCTAAGGATCGTGTTAATGTTGGTCTCAGAAAGCAAAGGTTATTTTTCTGTAGCTCTGACACTTGTAGGTGTTGATGTTTCCTCTTCCTTCATGAACTCTGAAATGTAGATTAAAAATGGGTGAAACTACTCCTGGAAACCAGTGAAGTCTGTGAAGATTTTCTCACTGATTGTAGGGAGAACAGTTTTTTAGGTTTCTTTATATATAAGTTTGTATTCAAAATTAAATCTTTTACTACTTATAAATTCATAGCAGTGAATTAATTCAAAACAGCTGATAATGTTTGCCCCAAAATTGCAAGGACTTTAACTGACACAAAAACTGTCCTGAAAGTGAAAGGATTTCTGGGACAGTGTCAAGGCCCTGTCAAATCCTCTGGTCAGGTTGAAAATAATGGAACAGGGAATATTGTGTCATGAACAGATCCCCTTTAGCTCTCTTACTATAAATTCTCCATTGAGAATTCAAGAATCAAATAATTTTATATTGTGACCTTATTTCTTCTACTCTGTCATTCTCCAGGGACCTTTAAAAGGACGCCGGGTCGAAGATATCCAGTATGAAGATGTTTCCAAGCTTGCCTGAGGTGCTAATCATGGATCAGAGAAGATTTTGGTTCCCAAAACCATCTTTCTGACATCTTTCAGGCAGACACAAGACTCTACCATGTCAGGGTTTTAATTGTGTGTGTATTTATATTGTATATAGAAATTAACAGAAGCAAACTTGATCTATTTAAAGATAGCTATGGATTTGTTACATAAAATGTTTGTGGAAATACTATCAGTGGAGATTTTTCATCTGATTCTATATCAAAGTTATAATATTTACTTCAATTTCCTGTTGTAAAATATAGGAGAGAGCTGCAAGCTGGAGTATTTTATTTACTGAAGTCTGTGAGCAGGTCCAGAAGAGAGAATTAGCTACAGGTAGGCAGAGTGTGTCGGAGCCAGTGGAGTTTAAAACAACACCCTTCTCAATGCACAGCCAAAACGGAGCTCTGGCTGTAGGAACAAGGGAAGGGATTGGGAGAATAGCAGGAAGGTACCAGTGCTGCAAGAGATTATTCCCTGGATGCTGCGAGAATGGTCTGGTTTATTAAGTGCTGTCACCAGTTTATTTTTGATTAGCACACAGGTGGTAGTGGAATGCAAGTCATTGCTCCAACGTGTTTGTCAGGGTTCCTGATAATATTAATATGCAGTTTATCTCCATATGGACTCTGTATGGAGTTACTCCATGGATGTTACTTGTGGGGTTTCTAGGATGCCAGGTAAAGCGTGTGGATGTAGGAGCTGATGGTTGCTCTCCTGGTTTTCCAGAGCCTTTTCCTTTGTTCATGCTTCTATTGTTGCTCTGCTACATGAGTAACATTATTTGTGCTAAATGATACAACATTACTTGTTTTATTTTTTTAAAAAGTCACATTTTATACAGTGTTTAATTTCTAAGGCACTTCAGGAATAAACATAAACCTTTTCTTAGGCCAGTGTCTTTCTTATCAGCCTTTCAAATGTGTGAGGCAGCTCTTGGTTTAAATCCACCAAGGAGCACAGCAAAGTGCATGGTCGGTGCACCACATTATTTGGGTGAAAAAAGATGCAGGTTGTCCTGAACAAAATAAAACCCATCACCTGAAGGTCCAGTCTGAAGGTTGTGTGACTCTGGAACCTCTTCCCTTTCCTTGCCTCGGAAGGTCACTGTCTTGTTGATTTGTGGTTTCCAGGGGACCCTACAGGAAGCTGGAAGTCTCTAGAGGTTTAATGAAACAGCTGCTGTCTGAAGTAGCCCAAACCAACCTCACACAGGACATCAGGTGGCTTTTCAGGGTTCCTGGGCTTGAAGAATGGAGAGTTATGAGAACTAGAGGCAGAAAATACACTTGTCTGTAAATTCAGGCTCTTTGTACAACCTGTGTGAACAGCTCTGCCCTTTCTCAAAAGACAGGTTCTGAGGGAGAGGAGATGTGTAGGAGAATGATGAACAGAAGAGCTTCTGTATCACTGAAAATAATTACACTTGACATTCTGGAACCTGACAAATTAGAGTGAATATAGTAGACAAGTCATAAATTGTGTGGAGAAGATCAGAGAATGGTTACTCACTGTGTTCACATACAGGCTAGGAAACGGTGGAGTTACTGATTTGGGGATTTAAAAACACAGGGGTTTTTCCTCTCCTCACCTAGAGCCTTGTTAGACTGGGGCACTGGCTGCTAGGGGATGTTGGAGAGGCCAAAGATGATGGATGAGTTCAAAGAAGTGATAAATGGTTTGTAAGAAGTTGCTGACAGTTCTGAGAGTAACTTTGAAGAGACTTTAAAACCGTATTGATTCTCTCACTCCTGACGCAGCTGCAACAAAGATCCCATGCCAGCTTAGAGTGCCTAAGTGAAGGAAACCAAAGTTCAGAAGGGCAAGGGGACTGCTTGAGTCCCTTTCCTGGATTAGGGCTGCTGAAAAGGATATGGCCAATGTTTCTTTCTAAGGTTACCAGAAAAGAAGAGTTTTAAATCCAGCTCTCAGTACACAGACAGGCATATTTGTTCCACTACTGATCTCATTCATTGCTAAATGCTCCTGAAGAACAAGCGATCCTCTGGCAGTGAAGCCCACCAGAAGGAAAACTTTTAGTATTGATAATTATTTTTATAGTCTGAACATTTTCTGCTTTCATGGATTTGTATCTGTGCATGAACTCTGTTCTGGTCTTGAAATTCTAACAAAAAACAGGCTGGAGGCTGTCTAACTGGTCTAAATAATTTTTCTGCAATATAGCAGTTTTTTCAAGGGCATCCTTCACCACTGGTTAACTCATCCTTAAATCCAGCAGCCTCCTCATGATACCCATTCCAGAACCCATGTTCCTTTTCTTTCAGATTTCCTTTACTTCATGCACCTCCTTTTTGCCCAGTCTAGCATGGTATGAACTTATATTTTCCCAGCAGTCTGAAAACACAAAGGTATATTAAACCTGCTTAAATTAAAGTATTAAATAACTATTAAACCTGGTTGAGTGTTACCCACACTCCAGGAGCCACAACACTGTTACAGCTCCGCTATGAAATGGATTTTACGGAACACTTGAAATTTTTAGTGGAGTTTACAACCCATTAAGTCATACAACACCAAGAGCAAGACACCTCCTACAACCCAGCATGTCACTTTATTACAGATTTCATTTCTTAGCAGAAAAGGGAGTAACAGGGCTTTGAAACACTGAGCAGTTACAAAGCAAACAGTGGTGGAGTCGCCTCCAGTCGATGTGGCATGACAGGCTGACAGCTGCTGTTCAGAGGAGTTGTTTGGGCATGAAGGAGCAGATAAGACTTTTTTTGTGCTAAACTGGCTTTGTGGTGGAGCATTCAGGGTCTCTTCATGAAGCTGTAGAGGTGGGGGACGAGGTAATCTCTGTAGTGGCCGTCTATGAACCCTTTCCCGCTGTTGTGCACAAACCAGCACGGCACGTCGGTCCCAAGCACACGGTCTGTCCTGTAGTCCTTCTGCACACCCCTGAGAGGGAGAGGACACCCAAAATGAGAGTCACAGCATGGCAAGGAGACAAGAAGACATTGATAATCCTGCTCAGTCATGGCGCTGTTCAGCCTAAGTGGTGAATTGTGTCCCTTCCACCAGCAAAAAGTGGAAACAACCACAGAAGGCAATTAATTTTACAGTTCTATGACCTCGTGGGCCTTGTGGGGATTCCAGGCACTTACACACAGACAGACTGTCCAAAGTCAGGTGCTGGGCAGCTCTAAGGACAGAATAGTTCATGCTCAAATCTTGTGTTCAGTTTTGGGCCCCTCACTCCAAGAAAGACATTTCGGTGCTGGAGCATGTCCAGAGAAGGGCAATGGAGCTGGGGAAGGGTCTGGAGCACAAATCCTGTGAGGAGCAGCTGAGAGAGGTGGGGGGGGCTCAACCAGGAGAACAGGAGGCTCGAGGGGACCCTCCTGATCTCTACAACTCCCTGACAGGAGGGTGTAGCCAGGTGGGGATCAGGCTCTTCTCCCAGGTAATAAGCAATAGGACAAGAGGAAACGGTCTCAAACTGCACCAGGGGAGGTTTAGACCAGCTATTAGGAAAAATTTCTTCACTGAAAGCGTTGTCAATCATTGGAACAGGCTGCACAGGGAAGTGTTCAAAAAAACATGTAGCTGTGGTGCTTAGAGACATGATTTTAGTGGCAGACCTGTGTTGGGTTAACAGTTGGACTTGATGATCTTAGAGGGCTTTCCCAATCTTAATGATTCTGTGAAATACGAAAGAACCAACTTGTTTCAAGTGTTTTAACAACTGCTAAACCCAGATTATTAGCAGAGAGAAAACAGGGGTTTTCCCCCCAAGATCCTTGAGACTCAATAAGCCTGCAGACTGACATCCTTAAAAAGCAGATTTAGAGAGCAATAAAGCATGTGATTCCTACCTGGTGACAGTGAACTTGTTGCCTTTCACTTCCATAATGGCTTGTGGTTTCTCTGGAGGTTGCCCAGGTGTTTGGTGGTGGATGGACACTTCTGGTTCAGAGGCAAACTGACCTGATCAGAGAGAGGTTTAAAACTCTTTGTGCATCCTGATCTTTTAAGGCTTTAGGACCTTTTTAATTTGAGATCTTTGAGGCTCCATGTCAGCTGCTGCTGGGCCTTTTTGGAAAATCAGACTAGTTCCAGCAGGAAAACCCCTCATGGATCACAGAGCACTGTGTCTCCAGTGCTATGGGATCACCCACACCCGGAGAATAAAGAGCTCTGCTGCTAAGCCAACTGCTTTCTTGTTCTAAGAAAGCAGACTGGAGCTGCAAAGACTATTTGGGAAAACAATCTCCTCTGTTCCTCAGGATTCCCACACTTTAAAAGGAGCCTTGAGTGGGTCCATGGCTTATAGGGTTGATTTTCCCAATGAACTGAGCCTATGCTTTTGTTTTATGCCACTGCCAGAAAGGGCTGTCATTCAGGGGAGAGCTGAATTACAGGTGTTTGCACAGAAATCTTCTCAGAAGGAAGGTTTGAGGGGTTTGTTTAGGTCTTTTTATTTTCAGCTTGCAGCAGTTTAGCCAGATGGGGAAAGCCCTGTCACAGTGTCACCAAGTCTAGTTCGGTCTGTTCTGAAAACATCCTCTCCACTTGGGACAAAGAATAATCTCCTGGTCCCTGATGTTCTACAGTGTCCTTGGGCATTTCAGGACATTGAAATTTTCCCCATTCTCTTCTTGAATAATCTTCACATCTTCCCCATTGGGATACAGACACCAACAAATTAACAGCATGAAGATGTGCCAGGAGAGGTTTTTGTGCTAAGGTTTTTGGATATTAGGAAAAGGTTCTTCGTGCAGAGGGTGGCTGGGCACCAGAATAAGCTTCTCAAAGAAGGGGTATGGCACCAAGCCTGCATTTGGACAATGCTGTCAGGCACGTGGTGTGATTCTTGGGTTTGTCCTGTGCAAGAGTTGGACTCAGTTATCCTTTTGGGTCCCTTCCAACCCAGGATTTTGAAATCCACTCAAAGACCTGGAAAAACCCCTTCCTAGTGCACTGCTGCTCCCATTAGCCAACCCCCAGCCCTTACCTATCAGCCCATGGGCTGAAGAAGAGAACTGGTTTTCAGGGGGAATGTAGATTCCCAGGAAATCAACATTCACTGGGTGTTTCTTCCACACACGGTGCAGCAGAACCATGAAGGACATCTCCTGCCCCACAGTGATGGTAACGTTGCTTTCCTTCTTCACAGAAACGAGAAGCCTGGCAGAGAGGAACGAAAGGACAGGCTCAGTTCAGCTGCTCAAACAAAGGCTCTCAGACCCCTTGAGAAGCTCTCAGGTATCCAGAACACCCACACAGAGGTGGCAGATACGCCAGAGGATCCATCAGAGCCTTTAGACTGGTACCCAGAGGTCTGGCAGGACAGTGCCTAATAGGACAGACACTTCATGCCAGTGTTTAAGCAACCAAATCTTGCCCTACAAATTTAAGCTCCTGCTACAATGAATGGAGATTTTGGAGGGATCCCATCACCTAAACAGTGTTGTAGGGTGTCCAGCATGTCCAACACTGTTAATCTGCAGGTGAAGGTCTCCTGGTGTTGTGAGTCATGTCATGGCAGGAACCCTGAAGGTATCTCAAATAGCATTATGTGCTTGTGTGAGCAGGTAAAAACTGCTGCTCAACTTACTGTTTCCTAAGGATGTGCCCTGTGTCAGACCAGGTCAGTGTGATGGCATGAGATCCATCTTTCAGCGTTATAGTTTCTGTGGTGATCTCCACTTTCAGTCCTTTGTTTTTGAAATAAAAACCAATTTTGCCAAAGTATGTGTTGAGTTTCTTATTCTCCATTTTCTTGGCCCCGACGAGCTGCCCATTGACCACAACTCCTGTGAATAGAAGAGAAGGAATTGTTGCTTGAATCTTGGAGTACTGCCTAAAGACTTGGAGTTCTGATCTCAACAGGAAGCACCACGGGATCAACAGAAACAGGAACTCCTCTGACTCCGTGTTTTTCTCATTTTGCCAGCTAAGAGAAGAGAATTATTTATTAAACCACCTCCTGATGCTACTGTTCACGCCTTAGCAAAATAATCTGG